GGAAAAGTCAAGGTTGCCGAACGGTTCGAATGCTTCCACTTCCACAAATTTAGAGATTAGGGAAATAGATGAATAATTTGCCTAGATTATTGGCGGCAGAATTGCAAACATAAAAGTCATCCCCTAGTCTGACGGTCAGTCAATGCATAACCCTAGCCTAGGTTGATTGTGCCCGCGTGACCCACGGTTCCCTTTTCGTGTATCACGTGGAAAACCCAAGCAAAAAGTGGTCAAGCGAATTTGTTACCGGTTTATGTTCGTTATAAACATAAACTTTTGCGCTGCACTGCCATGCTGTTATAACTTTATACGTTCATGAAGACGTAGCATCTGTTCTAGCTAACTCATAATTGGTACTGACTATATTTCATTACCAGGTATGCATTTTGATTTTTGTTGCGCTATAATTGATTTCTTTTGGAGTACTCAAGAATCTGTGAGGTCTACCAACAATTGTTCTATGATATAGGGTTTTCTCTTGTCGTAGCAAGTACAGATGAGACAACCAGTAAACTTCGACAAATTCATGGAGACTGTTAGTAAAGCATAGGGTCATCCATGATCTGGGTTCGCTTTTGCTGATTATTGGGGATATCATATTTGTGAGAAAAATCATTGACGACATTCATGAGATAACAAACACATTTGATTAGATTTTTTTGAACAATGCTACGGGAAGTGAATTCTCACTGTTACCAAAAAGCCAAGTAAATTTTGAAAAAGTTTCAAATCCAGGCAGGCACGATACTGATGCACGATTTAGTTAACATTTAGAGGGCGCAACTTTTTGAGTGCTCTTGTCTGAGCAGCTCAGTCCGCACGAGTTGCTCCGTCTTAAAATTCAAAACATAAATACGGTCAAAAACCCTTGAAAATGCGACTAATATCAATTTTGTGCGCATTTCAATCATTTTTTCTTCATAGACCATTGAACTCAGAAAGTGGCAGAATAATTAGTAAGCCACAACACTTTGTTCAGCATTGTTGTAAAGACATAACATTGAATTGAGCTTTCAAGTTGATGACCTACATAGAAATCGCGCCTGTTGACTGTCTCCCACTGTATATCACCTGCATCGTCTTCTCTCGTATTGCTATGTTTCAATGATGTCAAATTTGTTAAAAAATGTTTACAGTATGCCAAATGTCCTCACTCTATCCTGATGAGAGCTATTGTACGAGTGAAATAGGACGCCTTCTTTTCCAACCAAAAAACGAATGGGCAATAACGGGCAAGGTGATCGAGGCTACTGACGTGAAACAAATCACCTTCACGCATACCGATTACATAATCGAATTAAAAGTGAGTTAAATGAGCAGCACGAATTTCGAAGTTTCATTTATTTTTGGTTCTTGTATAATTTTGAGTTTTTTTTTTAATTTTTTGATTTTTTCAAAATTTCCTAACAGCTTTCAGTCTCATTCCCTTTTGTTTCTAGATGCACGACAGGCTTTGTTTATGCTAGAGTGCGTGTTTATTTTCAACTCCATTTCAGTGTGTCCCACGCAATAATATCGAGTTGGATGATCGATTTTTCACCATCACATCTAGATTTCGCGAATTGAATCGCCTGCACGCCAGTCTTTCCAAGCTGCACAAACAAGTGAGTGTTCCATCACATAGCGACGAAGAACAATAAAATCCTTACAGTTATATTTGCGCGGAGCATTTCCACATTTTGCCGCTCCTCGTTTGCTTGGTAGCACTGAACCTTCAGTGATCGCTGAA